GCAGAGGACACGCCATCGGCCACTGCCTCACCATAAACAGGTATCAGTTCAACTGTATGCATTACATCTACCACTCGTATGACAGCCCCCTCCCTATACTGGTTACTGTTTTGATCCTGCATGTATGTGCACTTCACAGTCCACATAGCAAGTTCAGGACGCTCATCAGTGTTGTGCACTGATGGATATGACGAAGACCGAGTGCAGTAGTTAGTAATATGGTAACGGGAATAGCCGGAACCGGAGAATATTTGTAAGCACAGCACGGAAGAAAGACAAGTCTGAAACATAGACTCACCAGATTGGATACTTAGGATTAGCGTATCGTAGTATATAAACTGTACGATTATTTACATTAGCAGAGAGTTGGAATAATATCTCAAGTCTCACCTTAACTTCTAAAGTCTCATAACCAGAGGTTATGAGCCCTGCCTTGACTATGAACAGTACCATGCTCCCCAGCTCCAGCTCTGCACTCTATAACATACCCCAGCTTGCCGAAGATGGCTCAAACTGGATAATGTATAAACAAAGAGCAAAAACGGTGATTGGTGCCCAAGGTTTGATGCGGTACCTAGATGGTCGAGTAACCAAACCTGTCCCATATGCAACGAACACGAATGGACAAATGGTAAAGCCAGATGGCACTACACTGGCAACAGCTACTGAAATTGAGGAATTAGAGAAGAAAATTGATGAACATTATCAAAAGAACTCACTTGTTAGACAGCACATATTCAGCATGATCTCAGATTGGCTATTGCTGCATGTCCAGAATCTGGATGAAGTCTCAAAGATATGGGAAGAAATACGTACCATACACAAAGGCAAGACCGAACTGGTGCAAATAGATTTGCACCATCGGCTACAGGAAACTCAATGTGAGGAAGGAGGAGATGTGAAAGCACACTTTGGAGAGTTGTACTGACTTTGTGAATCACTAGTGGGGATGGGAGTATCAATTGACGACAAAGATTTTTCAGCCATAATAATGGGATCTCTCCCAGAAACCTATAGGCCCCTACTCTCATCTGTTAATGCTGCAGCTCGAATCTTGCAGAAGCCCCTTACCTCATATGAGCTGGTCAATGTTGTAACCGAAGAGTACAAACATTGACAGCTAAACTGCGGAACATCAAAGAAAGCTGGAAACAGTGCTTTGTCAGCAAAGATGAGTGGAAAGAAGAATTGCACTGGAGATAGCACTAACAAGGACATTATGTGCTACAATTGTGATCGCAAAGGCCATTATAAGGCTGATTGTTGGAGACCTGGAGGTGGAAAGGAAGGTCAGGGACCGAAACAGAGAAAAGGAGGAAGTATGCACAGGCAAGGTGCAAACACAGCAACCAAAGATGAAAGCACAAAGGAATATGCTTTTGCTTCATCAGATATGGTTGCAATAGCAAAGCAACTAGATGTGCCTGTCGAGAAATGCAGGGCAATCATAGATTCCGGTGCTACTTCCCATTTCTGCCCCGATCACTCAAAGTTCTTAACTTTCGCCCCAATTGAAGCACAGAAAATGCATACAGCCGATGGATCTACAATCAATGCTATAGGATGAGGAGATGTCAGCATAGATCTACCACTAGGGGATAAAAGAACAAGCATTACACTCAAGAATGCACTATACACGCTGAAGATGGCCTTCACCCTGATATCAACCAACTGCATTGCAGCAGCAGGATTTTCTATCCTCTTTGAAGATAAACTTTGCAAAATAATGTCACCCACTCCTGAATGAAGGATCATAGCAGCTATTCTGCAAGTAGATGGACTCTATAGCATCATTTCTCGAAATCAGCAATGTGCAAATGTTGCAAGAACCAAATGCACCATATATGAACTCCATAGTGCCCTAGGACACGTCTCACAAACAGCATTACTTGATGCTGTAAAGAGGAATATCATTGGAGGAATAAACCTTGATATTGGTTCAAAACCGGAATATTGTGAAACCTGCACAAAAGCGAAAGCAACCCGTCAGCTGTTTCCTGAAGAATTGAAGACAAGAGCATGTACCTATGGAGATTTGGTCCACACAGACCTATGGGGACCTGTGCAGACTGCAACTATAGGCGGATGTCTGTATTACATCAGTTTCACTGATGATTACAGCAGGGAGATGAAGATAGAATTTTTGAAGAAGAAGAGCGAAGCACTTACTGCATTCAAGCACTATGAGGCTTATGTAACCCATCAACATGGTGCACATCTATGCAAAATCTGTTCGGATCGAGGGGGAGAATACCTTAGTAAAGAGTTTGATGAATATCTTGAAGAGAAGGGAATACAACGTCAACTTATGGTTCATGACTCGCCTCAACAGAACGGCGTAGCAGAACAACTTAATAGGACCCTGGTCAAACATGCATGGGCCATGTTGATCACGAAGGATCTTCCAAAATTCCTATGGGCTGAAGCTATCAATTATGCCACTTGGTTAAAGAATCACTTACCATCTCATGTGATCCCTGGGCACACCTCATATGAATTAATGCATAAGGCTAAACCAAGTTTAGTGGCAGCACATGAATTCGGAGCATGATTGTATGTGCACTCACCGGATAATGGGAAACTTGAAGCTAGGGCTGAAGAGGCATTATTTGTGGGAGTGGATGAAGACAGCAAAGGTTACAGGACATACTGGCCCAGAAAACGATGAGTATATATCAAATGGAACATTAGTTTTGTCCCACCAGGTGTCAGTATCGAGGATGACGTACTGGACAAGGGGGAGTCCAGGCAGACAGTCCCAACAAATAATGTCCAGAACGTCACACCGACAACACAACCCCAAACTCCACCTCGAAGCACACAGCCACTTCCTCCGCCAACAGTGCCAAGAGCCACTCGAGTGCGACCTCCTGCAGGCTACTACAAAGCCTTACATGAGGGGGAGATAGCAGCAGCATCAATCAAGAACTTACCAGATGACAGCCAATCACATTCTTTCACACATCACACTAGCAGCTGTGGAACAAGAACCAACATTGAGAGAAGCGCATAGTGGACCAGATGCGGAGGAATGGCAACAAGCCATAGACTATGAGATAGGTCAATTGGAGAAACTCAGAACATGGGAAATAGTAGACCCACCTAGAGGCGTAAACATAATACCCTGTCATTTTGTCCTAGCAACGAAATGAGGACCTGATGGAGAGAAAGTAAAGCTCTGAGCACACCTAGTAGCAAATGGTCAGCAACAAGAGTATGGAGGCAACTATCAAGAGACATTCACACCTACATCCAAAATGACCACTATATGAACAGTCCTATCAATGGCTGCAAAGAATGATTGGGAAATACACCAGGTAGACATCAAGAGTGCTTACCTCAATGCCATGCTCAGGGACAATATTTACATGTGCGCACCACCCAGATATTTGGAGCCAGAAGACCATGGAAAAGTTTTGAAACTGCTGCAAAGTCTCTACAGACTAAAGCAGGCAGGTTTCAAATGGTCTGAGGAGCTAGAAGAATTCTTCCTCGAAGTGGGATACACGTGTTCACAAGTTGACCGGGCGGTGTATTTCCGGCACCAAGATGAAGAACACACCGTCATAACGGTATCCATCAACGACATGGCAGTCACATCAAAACATCTGAAACACATCCTTAACTTCAAAGATCAGCTTTGAAAATGCTTTGAAATCACAGATATAGGAGAACTCACTTGGTTGCTGGGACTCAAGGTAGAAAGGGACCAAAAGGAGCGAATGATCACACTATCCCAAGAGGTGTACATTAACACCATTGTCAAACATTTCTGTCTTGAAGGAGCCAAACCAGCCCAGACACCAATGGAAACAGGTGTAAGCCTAGGAGAGGATCATCTGCCAGGCACCCAATCTGAAATATCCAAAGACATACCTTACCAGAGAGCAGTTGGCTCACTGATGTATGCAGCAACAAGCACACGGCCAGATATAGCATTCTCCATGGTGATACTCTCGCAATTTATGCAAGAGCCAGTGAAGTCGCACTGGGAAGCAGTGAAATGTGTTATTCGCTACCTGAAGGGGACAAGAAATGCGAAACTCACCTTAAGAGCAAAGAATGGAGATCTCGAGGCATATGTAGATGCGGATTGGGCAAGCCAAGCACATAGGCACTCAATATCAGGATACGTTGTCCTACTGCATGGGTCGCCAGTAGCATGGAGTGCTCGAAAGCAAACACTAATCGCATTATCAACGGCGGAAGCAGAATACATCGCCTTAACATCTGTGACAAAAGAGGTGCAATATCTTCAATCATTATTGAAGGAATTATATGAAAGGAAAGATGTACCCATTATTGTCCACTGCAACAACCAAGGCGCCATCGCGCTCGCATCCAAGAACAAGTTCCATGCTTGCACAAAGCATATTGACATCCACTATCATTTTGTTCACTCAGTGATTGAAAACAGAATCATAATGCTGCAATACATACCTTCAGATGAAAACCTCACAGATGTTTTCACCAAGGCATTGCCAAAACCACATGTAGAAAGATTATGAGAAGGAATGAGCGTGAGTTGCACTTGAGGGGGAGTGTTGTGCACTGATGGATATGATGAAGACCGAGCACAGTAGTTAGTAATATGGTAACGGGAATAGCCGGAACCAGAGAATATTTGTAAGCACAGCATGGAAGAAAGACAAGTCTGAAACATAGACTCACCGGATCGGATACTTAGGATTAGCATATTGTAGTATATAAACTGTACAATTATTTACATTAGCAGAGAGTTGGAATAATATCTCAAGTCTCACCTTAACTTCTAAAGTCTCATAACTAGAATCAGGGCTGGAGATGAAGTGGAAGAATTGGACGTAGAGAAGTGGGTCGGAGAGATACAATGGCAGTTCCAGGTTAGAACCTTGTTGAACAACCGGCTGAAAAATGACTTGAACTTGTGCGACATAACTTGCTGTATATGATATCAGTAGGGCTAGAATATAGGGGCATAGAATAAACATACTCATTTTGCCATTGATGCCCATGGTGTCAATGAGAACAGTGTTGCAATTGCCAAGGGGGAAATCATTGCTTGGGGGGTATGCTTGCACCACCCTGCTTGGCATGATGATGCGTTGCTGAAAGGCTGAGTGAAGCTGGAGCCAAAACTTGTTCCACACCTGGTAATGCCCATATTTGGGGTCCCAGCAAGTATGTTTGCCACTAGACAGTGATGACTGAGCAACAAAGTCAACAAGGGAACAATCAAAGTTGGGGAGTGCATATTTTATGCATATTTCAGCTGGCGACAGTGATTTGTAGTCTGGAGTGATATTGACCTGAAAAGTGGTCTGTGCATCTCCAGAGAGGATACCCTTGAGAAAGTGGTTACAGACTGGTCAGGGACCACAAACTGACTTGACTTCATCAGGGAGAATGCTGTTACAGTGCCCCACTCTTTTTCCCATGATCACTGTAGACTCCTATATGGCTGTACTTCTAACACTTCCTTTTCACTGTGCTGTTTCCTCATGGACTCCTTTATCTCTGACTCATACCTTGTTTTCCCATGAACCTTCTATTTCTAGTACTAGTTACCCTTTGCCCAGCTTGGTCTGTGCATGATTCCTTTATGTATATAAACTCTAGTTACCACTTGTATTTTCTCTAACTTGAATCCACTCGGTTCTCTTTCATACTTGAACTCTAGCTCCTTGGGAAGGAGGCTAGCCATTGTCCCATTTGAACTCTAGATCCTGCGGGAGTCTAGATGATCGCTCCTGAGGGAGGCATTAGCTTGATAAGGCTCTGTCCTTGATTGACCTTGATCTTGATTCCTTTATTGGAACGACACTCCATCCAAGTTTGTAACAGACACTAGATAGTGTCTTTGTTTACCTGTGCCTTTGTGCAATAAGATCACATTGATTTCATATTCTTCTTCATTATCTATGATGTCTGGGGGAGGATCATGGAAGTTCGGACCATGAATCTCTGTTTCATGATCGGATGATAGCTCAGAAGCATGGAATGTGGGGTGAACTCTCCATTGTGATGGTAGTTGGAGTGTGAATGTGATGGGTGATAGCACAGCGATGATAGGGAAGGGACCATATCACTTTGGCGCAAGCTTCTGTGATGGTAACTGCGTGATTAGGTTCTTTCCTGATAACCAAACTTTATCTCCTATTTTCCACAGGTGGTACTTCTGCCTGTGCATTCATTCTGCCATTTGCTGCATAGCAAGGTTGTGACAAGAAAGCACTTCTTCTCTCAATTTCTGAAGTAGATGGAGTTGGTCTTCCGCAGCAGGCACTGTGGAGTCAGGAAGGGTGTGTGGGAGAGCTCTGGGTTCATATCCCATCATAAGGAAGAATGGGGATGGGTTTTGTCAGTCGTGTTTTTGGTGATTATGGACGAACTCAGCCATAGGGAGGTGCTCTACCCAATCCTCTGGGTGATTGCAGCAGTAAATGCAGAGATAAGTCTCAAGTTCCTGGTTGAGATGTTCAGTCTGTCCATCAGTCTGAGGATGATAAGCAGTGGATGCAGCAATGTCATATTTTAAGAGTTTAGTGAGGGCTTTGGAGAACTTCGATACAAACTGTGGTCCTCGATCAGATATAACTTTCTCATGGAGACCAAAGTGGTGATAGATGTATTTGAAAAACTTCAAGGCAATGCCTTCAGAAGTGATGGTTTTCATACAAGGGATCAGAATTACCCCCTTCATAAGGCCATGGTCTACCATGACCATAACAGAGTCAAAACCTGTGCATATGGGGAGGTCAGTAATGAGATCAATGGAGACTTGGGCAAAGGGTGCAGAGGCGATGGAGGGGATAGGGACAAGTGGGGGAGTCACAGGGTGCATGTCAGATTTCATTTGCTAGCAAAGAGCGCAACTGTCAATGTATTTCCAAATATAGGAGCCCATAGAAGGCCACCAAAAGTCACACTTGACAAGCTCTTCTGTCTTAAAATGGCCAGGATGACTGGCAGAAGCATGGTCATGACAATGTTCCAGAATCAGGCGTCTCCCAGCAGGGCAGACATAGGCACAATCTTTGTAATACAAGATGTCTTCTTTAATCATCTAATCAGCGAGTGCAGATTTCATGGGGGGAAGCAATAAGCCATCAAGGGTATCTGCAGCAGCTTGGAAGATTGGGTTGGGATCAGTGGGGTCCGGATTCGTGAGTGTGGTCATAAGTTCCATGTCAAGAAGTTGTACAAACATAGAGTCTGGGAGGAGAGTGACATCATCATTGTCGCCCTGTCTGGTTCCATGATCAGGATGTCTGGAGAGTGCATCAGGGGTGGTGAGTTTAGTTCCAGCAATGTGATGGAGTTCTATGTCATAACAGGAGAGGAGGAGTTACCAATGTGCTTGGCGACGAGTCAATTTCTGTGTGGTATGGAAGTAGAGCAAATTCTTATGATCCATGAAGACAATAACTGGATGAGGGTTTCCTTTGAGGTAATGATGCCATTTGGTGAGGGCACAGATAACGGCGAGAAGTTCACGATTGAAGATCTGATAATTTCTTTCAGCTGGGTTCAGGGTTTGGGAGAGGTATCCACATGGATGGTAGACTCCGTTTTCATCAGTCTGTAGCAAAACTGCTCTGGTAGCAATGAGTGAGGCATCAGTAGCAATGGCAAACTGCCAACTAGGATCAGGGTTTCATAATATGGGTTGCTTCAGGAAGCATTCCTTAAGCATGGTAAATGTGGAGGTACATGGGTTGGACCAATGGAATACCATGTCTTTCTTGGTGAGGTCAATCAAGGGTCTAGCAATGTCAGAGTAATGAGGGATGAAATTGCAATAGAAATTGCAGAACCCAAGGAACGACCAAACTTCCTTTACTGTGGTATTGTTATGAACTCAGATGGTGCGTCGTTCCAATAAAGGAATCAAGATCAAGGTCAATCAAGGACTAAGCCTTATCGAGTCAATGCCTCTCTCAGGAGCAATCTCTTAGACTCCCGCAGGATCTAAGGTTCAAATGGGACAATGGCTAGCCTCCTTCCCAAGGAGCTAGAGTTCGAGTATCAAGGAGAACCAAGTAGATTCAAGTTAGAGAGGATACAAGTGGTAGCTAGGGTTTATATATGTAAGGGAATCGTGCACAGACCATGCTGGGCAAAGGGTAACGACTACTGAGAAAGGAAGGTTCATGGGAAAACAAAGTATGAGTCAAAGATAAGGGAGACCATGAGGAAACAGCACAGTGAAAAGGAAGAATTAGAAGTACAGCCATATAGGAGTCCACAGTGATGATAAGAAAAAGAGTGGGGCACTGTAACATTACCCCCCTGTCAATGTCTAAAGTCACTGACTTTAGTCACTAAGATTCTGATAATTATTAGGGTCGAAGTCAGCATCTTTTGCAAACTGCTTCTCATGCTCCTCTTGTTCAAGATCTTTTCTATCTTCGTAGATCTTAAGCTGATGATGGAAGGCCCATGAGCCAGGTTTGGCATTAATGATATGACATCCTCGAAGGGTAGGACAGTAAGCGGTAAGATGTTTGGGAGCATGGTGGTGGCATTCTCGGCAGAAATAGCGAGGGCAGTGGATTTGACAATGTCCTTCCTGCTGGCAGTATCGGCAAATGATATCATAATAGTCTACACCATTTCTGTCTCATTGAAAAGTTTCTTCAGATGGGGCATGAGAATCAGAGGAGGAGGCGGGTTTGTCTTCATCAACAATGATGGGTGGAGCAGGGGATGGTGTCATGGGATGAGAGAGGCCTATTCCAAAGGCAACAGTGTTTCTTTTCTTACCACAAGCATGGTGTGGGTTTCCTGCGGAGTGAACTGCGAGCTGAGAAGGAGCGGGGATGGGGGTGTCATCATCAGAAGATTCTGATGGGGATCTAGGGACTTCTTGGGTAGTGAAATGAAGGGGTTCAGTGGAAACTGAGCATTCCAATTTGACCATATCTGGGGTGAGAGCTTGCTCAAACCCTTTTTCTATAAGTCTGTCTGCAGCAAGTGCTTTGATCTTGGTCATGTGATAGATGATGGAACATTTGGTGGTTTCTTCGGCAGGGGCTGTGATGGTATGGGCATAGCTAGATGCTAGGTCTGCACTGCAATGGATGGTCATCAAGGAAAGGGAATCAATGTCTTCAGAAAAGAAATGGTCTAAAGGTAAAACACAAGGAAGAGAAGAAAGGGTCAATTCAACAAGAGCTCACTTGTGGTGAAGTTCAAGCTGAGAGCGATGGAGTTCAAGAGAAGAGTTCGAAGATCATGAAGAAGACATATTCTGGGATCAGGTTTCTAGGTAAGGAGTTGAGAGAGTCAAAGGCAATCTTTATAGGTTTTGAGGATTTCCTGGGCATTGTCTAGTTCATTTTCAGGGAGCCAGGAGTTATCTGAAGAAGGGTAACCCTTCCATGATATGAGGAAGCATTGTTTTCCTTTTACATTTCCCTTATGGGTGAGAACAGCTTCTATTTCATATTCTTCTTGTCCATTGACGATGTCAGGAGGGGGTTCAGTGTGGTTCAGGCCGTGGACTTCTGTTTCCCAATAGGAGGATAACTCAGAAGCATGAAAGACAGGGTGTGATTTCCAGGAGGCAGGGAGTCAGATCTTGAATGTGATAGGGGAGAGAATGGCTTCTACTGTAAAAGGGCCGTAGCATTTAGGGGCCAGCTTCTTTGAGGGTAGTCCAGTGATAAGGTTCTTTGCTGATAACCAAACTTTCTCACTGATCTTCCAGGGTTCAAACTTCTTTCCAAAGGTCCGATCAGACATGCGTTGCATGGCAAGATTGTGACAAGAGATAGCTTCTTCTCGGATCTTCTGAAGATATTTGACTCAATCTTCTGCTGCAGGGATGGTGGAGTTTGGGAGAATGTAGGGGATTCCTCAGGGTTCATAACCCATCATGAGGTGGAAAGGGGAGACATTGCAGGCATCATGTTTTCGGTGATTGTGGACAAATTCAGCCATGGGTAGATGCTTTACCCAATCAAGAGGAGTGGAGTGGCAATAGATGTGAAGGTAGGTTTCAAGTTCCTGATTCAGACGTTCAGTCTGTCCATCAGTTTGTGGGTGGTAGGCAGTGGAAAGTGCGACTTCATAGCCTAGGAGTCTTCCAAGTTCTTTGGCGAATTTAGAGGCGAACTGGGGTCCTCTGTCGGAGATGATCTTGTCATAGAGTCCAAATCTGAGAAAGACTTTCTTGAAAAAGAGTTGGGCAACTCCTTCTGATGTGATGGTTTTCTTGCATGGTGAGAGAATTACCCCCTTCATAAGGCCATGGTCTACCATGACCATAACTGAATCAAAACCACCTGATTCAGGCAAGTCAGTGATTAGATCTATGGAGATCTGCGAGAAGGGGCGAAGCACAGAGGAAGGTATAGGGGTC